GGGTTCTCCAGCGTCTCCCTATTAGTGAAACCAACAAACACAATGGCGTTGTTGTTATTCTTTTGCTATGATCAGAAAGGGCTCCGTGTGTGGGCAGTGTAGTGGGGAGGAGGAGAAGTCGAGTTCGTCCTTTTCATTCCTCCTTGCGCCCCCCCCCACACACACACACACACACACGCACGCACACCGCACACACACACACAAACACACAAGTCCATTTGCATGACTTGAGCAAATTAAATGATGCAATATGGCTTCTTTTTTTTCCCCAAAACAAAAAGTGAGATGCCACCCAGTCACTGAATTATTCCGGGCGCGTTTTACATAATAATGACGCGGTGAGAATCTAGTTGTGTTACAGTTTGCATCTTCACGAGCGGCTCAAGCTCGTCACGTTTAATTAGCCCCAATTACATCAGCAGGCGCATTTAATAAAAGTAACACGCATGCATACAACCAAAGCGCAACCCTTTCCGAGCAAAGCGTAGCAGCACTATCTCCTGGCAGTCGCTAATTGATAGCTGCAGCGTAAATTGGGCGATTAATTGCCATGGTAACGCTGAGGATTGGAAGCGCTAATAAAAAGGAGTTGCGTCACGTGTTCAAAGCACGCGATAAACAAGATAAAAAAAAGTTATCAGTTTCATAAAAGATATGTTGAAACGAACAAAAAGAGCTTCCTCCGTGTCAATAACTGGCATAAAAAACCAGTCCTTGAACGCATCGTGGGTGAGCCGCAGCGCGTGGTGAGTGGGCTTTAACTTACCCTGGCATCCCTGCGGTGAACCATCTGATAGGCGGCTCTTTTGGTGGGACAGCAGGACACCCGGGGATACAACCTGTGGCAAACTTCGCTGCTGTCGCCGCCGCTGCTGCTGCTGCTGCCGCTGCCGTCCAGCAACACTTTCCGCTCTCTTTTCTTCACCCGCTTGGGCAAGCTTCCGTCGTAACATCTTCTCCTCCTGGGGCTGAGCTCCCCTCTCTCGCCGAACTTTGCGTCTCCGCATTCCCACACGTTCACCGCGATGACCAGGACCAGCACGAACTGCAAATGCTTCATAGTTTTAAAAATGGCATAAAAACTTAAATAGGAAATATTCCTTCTTTTAAAGTATGCACTCCTTTTTTTCCCACCCTAAAAATAAAGTCTTAGTCTTCAGTGCAGTTTGATGACATTGATATTTCTCCAAAATCTGTAGAATTAAAAAAAAAAAGTAATGTGTGGTTAATAAACGCAGCTGTCCGTGATTTAATTAAACCACCGTGACAGGGGGTGTTTAAAAAATCAAACCAGCCCCCAGTTTCTTCTGATTAGGTTATGTGGTATCCAGCAAAAAACATAAATAATAGCAAAGGAAAACAATAAAAAATGTATCCTGGTGAACAGGGAGAGCTTGACGGTCCTCTCAGATGTAATTCCTCTGGAGCAGAGCAGAGCTCAGCGGGTTGTTTGCGTGCACGGGACACAACAACAACATCAGGAAAATAAAAAGTTGTGTCTCACTAAAAGTCCTCAGAGCAGCTCACATGTTTTTCCCGTGCTCTTTCCTCCCTTCTTTTTAACCAGCGCGCGTGAAGAGGGGCGAGCGCGCTGACGTAACCGCGGGGGCGCGCGCGCGGACACAGCCGCGTCCACGTGGAGGTAAAAACCGGTTACCTGGTAGAGAGAGAGAAAGGAGAGATGTGGACCGAGCCTGTATAAGGTATAGGCAAAGGGAGCCCCACTCAACACCCACGAAGACTATTATTAATGTTATTATTTTATTGTGGATAAATGAACCATATCAACTTATGAATAAAGAAAATATATCCTACAGTTCAGCTGGTTCTTAATCTTTCATCTTTTCATCTTTTTGACCCATAAAATATAAGTTCACAATATGGATCTCTGATCTTCAAGAAGAACCTGATGAGTATAAGACTCCATGGCTCAAAACATTGGCTGCATTCTTTTCCTTTCAAATTGCATAATGCAACTCATTTTTAAGTCTTGTTTGGTGTTTTGCACAAGTTTAAAGTTAAGAAATAATGTAAACATGTTGTTGTACACCCGATCTGAGAGATTTCATCTTTAGTTAATAAAGTAAAACATTTATACAGAATTATGTCATTGTGCATTTGTAATATGACTCTAACTGAAGTGTATTTAGTGAGTTGATTGTCCTGAAATAAAATGTAATGAAGAAACTGGATATTTACTGAATCATGCAAATGATTTTTGAATTGGAACCACTGATTTGTTTGTGCAGTATTATTTTGACTTGAGCTGACATGAAACAAAGCAAAAAACAAACCAAGTCCAGCTGAATTGAATTCAAAGTGGAACTCAATAAAACTAGTCAAATCAAACTTCAATGAACTGAACTGAACTAAAGTGAATCACCAAATGCAACTGAACTGAACTAAATAAATAAATAAATAAATAAATAAATAAATAAATAAATAAATAAATAAATAAATAAATAAATAAATAAATAAATAAATAAATAAATAAATAAATAAATAAATAAATAAATAAATAAATAACTGCACTGAATTGAAGTGAATTGAATTCAGTTAAAGATGTCTTTAAAAAACAAAGACAAACTGACTTCAATTCAACTGAACTGAACTCAAAATGAACTGTACTGAAATGACTTGAAATAAAATAACTTGAGTTGATCTAAATTAATTGGAAAGTAGGTTAATGTGTCATGAGTTGTTTAACTCTGTTTCTTATCAGAAACAAGTTTATTTGAGAGAAAGAATCAAATTAAAAACAGCCCAGCAACCACTGATCACCTCAGCTATTTGTTGTCAAGTGTAACTTTGGGCAGTTTCCCTGTAAAAACTAAATCTGGCACCAATTTCTTTGCACTCCTCTAATAAAACTTACTCAGTTGCAATCCAAACGGGAATGTTCAGTTGTTGCAATTACTGAGGAATCAACAGCCAAACCTTTTTTTTAAGGATAGAAGCTGAAATCCATTATACTAGCAGCACCTGCTCTCATCTGGGGGTCTGTGGCACTCAACAGATTCCCGGCTCAGCTTATCTGCAGGAATCTGGAGCGGTCAGTTTGATTGTGGGGCTATTATGGAAATAACTGTGTGTGCTGTGAAGTTGCAGCCCCCCCACACCACACACACACACACACACACACACATCCGCACACCCACACACACCCTTACACATTCTTTACAATACCCAACTGAAGACGTTCCAGGATCAAGTAAGCCAAAGTGCTACTGCTGTGATGTAAAGGAAGGAAAAAAACCAGAATGAAGGGATGAGAGGAAATCTGCCACCAACACCACCACAAACACAAAAGCACCATGAGCAGAGAGGAATATAAGTGCGTTGTCTGACAGCGTAAAACACATGTGGGATGCAGCTGTGGACCAGAGAGGAGTACATCTGCTGGGAGAGATAGAAGTGCAGTGCTGCTCTGAGCTGACACAATGAGGCGGCAGATTCTCTTAACACACAAGTAAAAAAAAGACAGTGTTCACGTAAAGTTTATTACCCTGCAGACTTGGTTATTTTTTTTATTTTCTGACATTATTAAAATATAAAAGACGAACTTCTTTTGGACTGATTTGGCACATCAGTAAACAAAGAACTGTTAAAAATGCCCTGTTTTCTGACACCTGTTTTATTTTTGCTGAGTCAGCAGGTAAATTCCCAAACACCTTCTTGGGAGATATTCCAAGATGTGATGGTGCGCTTTGTGTTTGACCACATAAGAGCTGACAATGTGACTCTGGACCTGCTTGAGTTACAGTCTCCTACCTTTATTCAGAGAAAATAACCAAAGATATTTTTTTTTATTTATTTATTTGTTCATTTTGTTAATGCATTGTTTGCATCATCATTTTCAACACAAATAGGCATGTGCAGTGGTGGCCCATTCAAATATGTGCATTTCATTGCATTTATTTATTTGAAAGGACAATGTACATTAATCATTATTCTGTGAATATAAATGCACTTGAATTAGCACAAAAGCTAAATTTCATTTGTCCTGAGCAGATACAAAAGTAACAGTTTATAAAACAAGTTCACAAAGCAGACAAAATTTAACACTGTCCAACAAAACACACAAACACTTCTGACCACAAGATACCCAGTTAAATTGTTTTACGAATGACTGATTTTCTTTGAGCCAAACTTTAAGTTTCTTTTTGAAAATGGAGTAACTGTCACTGTCTCTGATATTTGCTGGTAGTTCATTCCATAAAAGTGTTCCTCTGGTTGACGTCACCTTTTGCCCAAATTCCATTCTCTGTCTTGCGACAACACAGTCCTCTCCAGATTGAGATCTAGTATTCATTTTGGATGTATATTTATGAATAAAATAGTTTAAAGGTGGAGGAGCATGTCCATTTAAAACCCTAAAAACAAGATTTAAACCATTGAACCTTTGATCATTTTTTAAGTCCAAGACCCTCATGATTTTAGTGAACATGATAAGGTTGTCTGTCTAAAACTTTAATTATCTTTTTGAAGAGAGACTTGATGGGTTTTAACACATTTGTTGTTGTATGGGACCAAGTTTTAAGACTATAAGAAATATGAGAAAAAAATTACTGCATGCATGCAAGATTTTAGCTGTCTGTGTAGCGAGAAATGGTCTAATAATTTGCTAAGTTGAATTTTATAACATTAGTGGTCTTCTTAATATGTTGCTTAAAAGTAAGGTTTGTGTCAAACAGAACACCAAGGTACTTGAACTGATCCAGCACATCAAGTCTCTATCCATTTACAAAAACACTTGGTTTTGGGCCATCTGCTTACTGGCATGAGAAAAGCATTCTAACAGTTTTTTTTTTGTTAAGATGCAAGCATAAATCTTGAAACCAGTTGCATAACGGTACCAAAGCAGTAGATAAAACAGTAGTTGTTTCCTGAGCCGTTTTAGCATGTATACACAATGAAGTATCGTCTGCATACAGCTGAACTTTGACACTTGAACATGGTTAGTCATTAACATAGAGACTAAAAATAATTGGTCCTAATATAGAGCCTTGAAGAACCCCAGCTATGAAGTTAAGAAATGGTGAGATTGTCTCACCAATCTGCACAGTCTGAACTCTATTAGAAATATATGATTTCATCCAGTGGATGGCCTTGTTTAAAAATTAAAACCTGAGAGCTTTGCAAAGAGAACATCATGATTGATTATGTCAAAAGCTTGTTTTAAATCATAGAAGACACCTCCATACAACACAACCTTGCCTGTCCAGTAAGTTTTTGATGTTCTCAAAGAAAAAAAAACAGGTGGCTGTTTTAGTAGAGTAATGTTTTTCAAAACCAAACTGCATCGAGTCGATAAAGTGAAGCACATACATTAAAATAGTTAATTCATTTCTCAAAATCTTTGAAACTATAAATACAAATTTTAGACGTACTTGGGTTGCCAAGTCTAATCAAGAAACAAAACATAAGATAATAAAAGTTTACCTGAAAGTATAACAAGACACAACTCATATGCAATAGTGTCAGACACCAAAGTGAGTTTAATATGCAGTATTTAACTTTTTTCTGCTTCATTACTATTATGGAATCATTAATATCAGCCCATTGCTAACAGTTGCTCAACCATGTGTGCACTTCATGGCAGTCAGCTCTCTCCTCGCAGCTTTGTGTGACTCTCACACCTTCTTTAATGGCCAGTCTTTGTTAGGCAGTTGTATGCCATAAGGCACACAGACCTCCACAAGTGTTCACAATGTCATTAATAGTCCTGACTACAGCTTAATGAGCCTCTACCATCTGTTGGTTCATAAAAAAAAACTCTGAAAAAAAAAGAAAAAGAAAAACAACAAAATCAGATCCAGTAGCAATTTCCAGTTGTGCGAGGAGCGTAGCTGATTTCCACGAACAGATCTAAACAAATGAGGACATTTTAAGTGTAGTGACTTATGTAGCGTCATCCACCCTGAGTCAGTGACTGGGCCTGGGCCGTCTGCCCAGCATCAACAGCCTCTAAATCACAGGACTCAGCCATCAGACCACACTACCTCACTTTTAGCTTCCTCTCCGCTCCTCATGCTGTACCACCCCGGAGTGTCCTTAGGCCTTGTTTGGCTGAGGTGTACACACACACACATACACACAAGGCATGAGTAAGAAAAGCCACCCAGGGCTCCCTGGAGTGTGGTGGCACAAGACACATACAGGGTTACACAAGACAGAGTGTCCTCTGACCAAAGACTAAACTGATGTGGAGAGACATACTGCACTGGTGTCTCCCATTACACCATCCAGGAAACATAAGAAACTGATCAGACATTTAGTCATGACAGATGCCTTTCCAGATGTCTCCGCACAGTCTTGTTTTGTTATGTTTTTTTGTAACATTAAGGGGGTTTGGATGAGGCAGATATACCTAAAAAAATAGAAAAACTATGAACACAATCGAAATAACCATAGCATCACCCTGGTGGTGCTCTATTCTGTTTTCAAAGACAACATTTAGGGTTGTTTTCATCCTCTCTGAACTCTGTAACAGAGAGCAGCACAGTCCCCCTAAAGGCAAGAAAGGTTAATGTGTAGATTGATGACTCTTT